GAATATAATAATATTATGTTTACACAATTATTAACAACTTGGGATTAGTATACACAATTTGTCGCCATAGTTGAAGCTTTTTTGCAAAAAACAAATGGGGAAGTATCATGGTAATAATAAACCTTTCAAAAACAATATACAATCTTAAACATGCCTACAGTGCGATATTTATATAATAAAGAAACGTGACTTTTTTACGTGTACATAAAACTGTCTACTGTGTAAATACTGTTAATTATTAAAAAAAAAACGATAAAAATTATTTACATCATTTCAAAACGCTAATGGTTTTTTTTTTAATGTTTTAATATAAGGTTTTACATTTTTCTACTGAATTAAGGGGCCTTCGATCAACAATCGAATGGTGGCACGATTAGAGGGTCTCGGTTGTCACAGAATACTAATAATAATAATAATAATCATTCATTCATTCATCGTAGCCTATTAAACTGTCAAATAAATATGTTAAATATTTAAAGTAAACTAAATTATTAAGTAATTCAAATTTAGGAAATTATAAATTTTGCACCGTTACAAGGTTGCCACTTGAGAACCCTTCGTCCCCATCGCTTGTCGGTTCTTCGAGATATATGAAGTGCTAGACACTTAAACTTGCTGCTTCGTTGGGTTTTGTCGGGTGATCCTACTGCGGAAATCTTCATTACGAATTCTATCACGCAGGGAAACTCTGAGCACAATCTCTCTGCAGCTCACTGAGCGATCTTGAGCTACATTATATGGTCAGCAGTGCAGGACCACGTCTTAGATCCATATATGGCAAACGCCAAAAAAAGACGAAAAGACGTGTCATAATCTCCAGAACGCTGCCCAGCCAAGTTGGATGCGCCGATTGACCTTTCGAGCTGAGCTTATCTAGTTATCAATTTGTCAAAATGTTCTTAACAACTACCAGCTAGGTATGTCGTGGACGTTACACGTGTTGTCTTATCCCTGTTCATCTACCCATCCGGTGGAAGACACTAATGAGATAATTGCACTGATGCAGTATCTTTTGCAGTCCAGTAGCTTGAAAACGTCTTCAAAGTAGAGATTTTTTTCTCTATAACAGTTCATGAACACACGCTTGTCATCCAGAGGGGTAGGCAGAGACTAAGGACTCTCTACGCATACATACTCGTCGATTAAGAGTACTCTTAATCTGGCCCACCTTCATTATATCGCCAATTTGGTCGATAAAGTTTCATCTAGAGCTTCCATTCCTGACTCTGCTGTTCACTTCTGCAACATAGATTTGTTTTGTCACTCTTTTCTCGTCCATTCTTTCTACATCACCAAACCACCGAAGCATTCCTTTCTTAATCCTGGTTACAACATCATCTTGCAAACCACCCTTTTCTCTTATCACACAATTTCTCACCCTGTCATTCAGATTCAGCCCTTAATGACTACATTTATTCTACTCTCGTGCTTTTTCTGCTACACCCAACTTTCACTATCATACATTAGGGTAGGGACTAAAGGATGATTCACGCTACAACGTGGCGCGGCCGGGCCGTGCCCCGGCCGGGACACGTCCACCGTGCGCTGGCCGGGCCAGTCATTCATGTTACACCGAGCTGTTTGCACGACCGTGGCTTATGCACGACTCTGTGTTATGTGGTTTTTGTCAGCTAGTGATTTCATCTGTCGATAGACTTCACGCTTACATAAATATGCAATTTTCACAATTTGAACTGGCAGCTATTGCAATTGCCATCGATGATGAAGTATTGGAAAAACGAAGCGAAACTACTAAAAGAAGATGGGGTGTACATCCAACCTGGAGAAAGCGAGAAGCAGAAGGAGAATTTGCTTTACTTTACAAAGAATTAATAGATGATGAGAGCAAGTTTTATGGTTATTTTAGAATGTCTAAAGAATGCTTTACTTTTTTACTTGAAAAAGTAAAACCAGACCTAACCAAAAAAATTACAAGATTTCAAAAGCCTATATCTCCCATCGAACGATTAGCAGTCTGCATCAGGTAAATAATAAATTGATATGCACTAAATCACATAGTATTTAAAAATGTAGTATTACAAATTGACCCGTCTCACAACCATCTATCAGAGCTGGTTGTAAGATGGGTCGATTTTTTCTAAATACTTCATTTTCAATTTTTCAATAATCAAAATTGCATTGTGAATGAAAAAAAGTAAAAATTTAAATAATTCGCATAGTATTTATTCATTTCATTAGTCTGCCGTGAACTCTGAAAATAAAGTAGACAAATTATTAGATTCCAAAGGCGTAAGTTCCGAAGGCGAAGGTTCCGAAGGCGTAGGTTCCGTAGGCGTTGATTCCGGTGTTGGCGTTGGTGTAGTCATCGGAACCGGTGCATACACCGACCTTGAATTAGTAGACGACGCTGACGTTGGTCCACTCATTGGAGATGTGTGAGAAGAAGGCTCTGATGACAATTGCTCCCACTCCAAATCTTGTACTACTGCAAATATTCTTCCTTTTGCAAGATGCTGATAGTAAGGGGAAAAAGATTTTATGGTGGCTGCCAAACCGTTGAAGAAAGCATCAATAGAATGAATGTCTTATGTGTTGGACTTTTCTTTATTTTTTAGAATGTATTCCATTAATGCGCTTGACGCAGAGGACTGGGATTGTGGCACTATACGACGGCGATTGTGTGCAGTTGCAACGGTTGCATTGCGATTGCGGTTGCCGGAACGAGTGAATTGTGCAGTTGACGGAGGATATGGATTTGGATCAGCAGGTGGCGTAAAATTTGGTTCACTAATAGCTGGTGAGCGATCTTCCTGCTGCTGCTGTTCATCGGTGTTAATTGTTTCGTTGGGCGTAGTAACTGGCGAAGTAACCGTTTCGTTTTGCGTCTCTTCGTTCTCAGACTCGATACTTGTTATTGTATTTCGATCCTGTATATGAGGCAGTAAAAAATTCAAGCTCTCTTCATATTTATAATTTTTTATTGCCACAGCACCCTGTCCACTCTTGGTTTTACGTTTGTTTCTATGTTTTTTGAACTGGTCCCGTATGTTTGCCCACCATTTTTTACATACATCATCTGCAAAAAGATAGTATAGAATGAACAAGTTAAGTAATTTTCTTTACAACCTGTATAAATGGTACTGTTAATACGTAATAGCTCACTGTAGTACACAGATACCGCGAAATTATACCATTATTATTTTTTCAGGTTCCTGGCTACTGGGGATTCGTTTAAAACTATTTCGTACAGTTTTCGATTGGGGCATTCAACTGTGACCGAAATTGTACATAGCACATGTCGATCTATCGTTAAAAGATTTAAGAAAGACGTTATACCAGAACCAACAGAAGAAATGTGGCGTAAAATTGCCGAAGATTTTGAAAAGCTTAGAGGTTTTCCAAATTGTATAGGCGCATTGGATGGAAAACATTTTGTTATTGAAGCCCCAGCCAATAGTGATTCTATATATTTTAATTATAAACACACATTCTCAATTGTTTTATTGGCGTTAGTGGACGCATGCTACAAATTTATTGCAGTTGATGTTGGCGTTTACGGACGAAACAGTGATGGTGGCATTTTTGCACAATGTAATCTTGGAAAACGTTTAGAAAATGGGACGCTTCATGTACCTATTGGTAAAAATTTACCCGGTTCCTCTACGTTTGCACCATATGTAATAGTTGGTGATGAAGCGTTTCCTTTGAAAACATACCTAATGCGACCGTATCCAGGACACCAAGCAACAGGTGACGCTAATAAAACGAATTTCAATCATAGACTGTCTTTGGCCCGGCGACTAGTCGAAAATGCCTTTGGTATTTTGACACAAAGATTTAGAATATTTCAAAGAAGAATGAAACTTGCTCCAGAAAATGTTGATTACATTATTCTATTTACATGCGTACTGCATAATTTTTTATGCAAACAAAAAGATTACACAGGGCTTATCAATCATAGTGCACAAAATGCGCAACCACATTTATTAAATCCATTGAGCGTTCAACCAGGAAGACCGGCTAATGATGCATTTGCGGTAAGAGAAACGTTTAAAGAATATTTAGCGTCAACAGCGGGACGTAATTTTATAGGACAACAGTATCAAGAATAAATACATACTTACACTATAATATACTTCTTATAATTTACCTAACATATTCTAAAATACCTACTAAAAACCGATAATCCCACTCACATGTACTTACATGTTGTCGTAAAGTAATTAGTGACACTTGAATAACTATTATAAATGTAAACTTACCAGATTGTTTTATTTCGTCCGAAATGGTTTTCCAAATAATATTTTTGTATTTGTTATCTAAATACTTAGGATGGCTCATATCGTAAATCACAGGGTACTTGCGCACACATTCTAATAATTTTTCATCGTCCATTTTGCTGTTGAGCTGCTCACTTCACTAAGATTTGACGTTGACTGCTCTCCGGGCGCCCGGGCGCATATGTTCATGTTACAACGTGTCGGGGCCGGACCGTGCCGGAGCCGGGAAACAATACCCACCGACATTTCAACGCCGTGCCCCGGCGGCGTACGGCCGGGGCACGGCCGGGCCACGGTCAGGCATGAATCGCTTCATACAAAAAGTACACCATAATGTTTGACCGTGCCCCGGCCGCGCCACGTTGTAGCGTGAATCATCCTTAACACAGCATGGTGAATTGCCATACGTGCCTTTTTTGACACATTTTGACTTCCCACAATAAGAGTATAGAGCTCCATTTACTCTATTTCTCTATCTATGTTATTCTATAACAGTTCATGGCTGAAACTGGCTCTCTCTCTCACAGATGGGAGGATTTGCAATATTACTTGTCACATGGCGACGATCCCCGTGGTTGGTCCAGGTATTTGTACTGTACAATAAGCAAAAATACCGTATTTTAATAAAACAACGTGTGTTTAGAAAATTATACTTTATTAACACATTCATCTCATTACACAATACAAACATTTCAATTACAATCGAAAATCATAACATGAAGACCAGTATTCGTTCATTAAAACTAAAATACAATTGATTCACATAAATGTTATCTTCGTCCTCACTTGATTGACTTGCCATACGTTCAAGTTTTCATACTCCTCGATGCAAGCGTCCACCTGTGGGAAAATACATTGTTGAATATTTTAGTATGAACTACAATATGAATATACTATCATCTACTACAGTTGAATTTTTTACCATGAGCTCATAATATTTTTCAAATGTATTGCTTCCTCATTGGCATTTTTATCAAATTGATCTATCAATAAATAATATTAATTCGAAGTAGGCTTTTTACATAATATCCGGTTCAAGGTCAAAAGCGTTACAAATTAATAAATACTTGTTACTAGTAAAGTACAATGTACATGATTCGATTTTTTTATAATATTAATCTCAATCGATGTTTTTAATTAATTTACTTTAAAAATCTATGTCTTTTAATTCGTTCTATTTCTTTTCTTCAAAAAAGTCACCAAGTAAAATAATTACTGCATAAAATGGCCTACACTCATCATCATCATTACAGCCCACTCTGAACACAAGGAATGCACCAAAGCACGGTCCTGAGCCACCTGCATCCATCGACTTCCTGCATGTCTTAGCAGGTCGTCACTCCATCTCGTGGGGGGTCGCCCTACACTTCGCCTACCGGTACGAGGATGCCACTCGATAACCTTTTCTCGAGTCGGTTCTTCGAGCCATACGGCCGGCCCGTTGCCACTTCAGCTTACAAATCCGTTGTGCTATTTCAGTCACTCTGGTTCTACTGCGGATATCCTAATTTCTAAGTTAATCACGTAGAGAAACCCCGAGCATAGCCCTCTCCAAAGCTCGCTGAGCGACCTTGAGCTTCCTCATACGGCCAGCAGTCAAAGACCACGTCTCAGTTCCATGTCATCACTGGCAACACGTACTGGTTGTACAGTCTCGTTTTCAAGTTTTGAGGTATACCTGACGAGAAGATGTGTCGTAATTTACCGAACGCTGCCAACTATAACGCTGCTAACTATTCGTCAACAACTTCGAGCTCAGTGCTCCCAACAACTACCGGCATAGGTGTGACATGGACGTTATACATGATCTTGTTTTGTCCATGTTCATCTTAAAACCTATCGGTTGGGAGGCACTATTGAGGTCATTGAGCATAATGCTTAGGTTCGCCAGCGATAGAGCGTTGATATCGTCGGCACATCGAAGGGGTGTGATGTATTCACCATTGATGTTAATACCGTATCCTTTCCAGTCCAGTAACTTGGGGGATGAAGCTGCTCTGGGGGATGAAGCTGCTCGCGTCCGTAGGAATTACTTGAATCCTGATTCCCTACACGTATCCCCTGGGTAGTGCTAAACGAGCAGTACTACATACTGGTGGTAGGTTGGTCCTCTACTAGTGAGAGGCCCGGCCGAGGGTTAGTTACCACCCACCTGGCAAAGACATACCGCCAAATGATGCAAATCGTGTTCCGGTATGATGTTAGGTGAAACCCATTTCTTAGGGAGAATGGGTCTGGACAGTTGCGTTACGCATACGGACCGGTTGCGATGCGGCGCGTTTCTTAGTGTCAGGTGCCTGGTTATGGAGGTTAGCGGGATCCGAAGCACGGTTGCACCGCTGGCCGACCGTAGATAGTTGGGGACCCAATTAATGAGCCAGCCACTCATGAAAGGCTGCCCCGCCATCTTACGAAAAATCCTGGGATGGCTCCACCATGCCGGTTGGCGACCGGAGGAGAGGGCCTGGTGGCGATTTCCAGGGGGGTTCGGGCGTCCCCGCCATCTCCATGCTAGGTACCATCGATGCTATGACTCTGTTTGCGTCCCTAGGTTATATGTGTGACGCCTCGTCCAACTTCCATTCTCTCAACCTATTCACTCCCACTATTAATGAAAAAAAGGAAAAAGAAGAGTAAGTTTGTACAGCGGCTGCACTCCCTCTCCATTAAAGTGCACCTCACAAACATCCGAGGCCTGCACTGTAATCTCAATGCAGTCCATTACCACCTTGAGACTGACAAGCCGCACTTGCTCTTCTTGACTGAGACGCAGATCAGATGTCCTCTAGATGCGGCGTACCTTGGCTACCCTGGGTACACATTGGAGCATAATTTCCATCAGCGCGCCGGAGTCTATGTTTACGTCCGCAACGACATCTGCTGTAAGCGTCTCCGTCACCTTGAAGACCCCACTTTCTCTACGATCTGGGTATTGATAGACACAGGAATGGATAAAATTATTTATTCTTGTGTCTACCGATCGCACAGCGGCGACCAGGAGACAACTAGGCTGTTTGAACACCTCAGTGAAGCCTCTGATGTGGCTCTAAATCGGTACCCTAATGCACAGTTGGTTTTTCTGGGGGACTTTAATGCCTGTCATCAGGACTGGCTGTTCCCATACCAAAAGCCCGACCACGCTGGGAGAGAGGCGTGGAATTTTGCCTTGTCGCTGGGGCTCTCCCAGCTGGTACAACAAGCGACTAGGGTACCTGATGTGGATGGGCACACAGCCAACTGACTCGACCTTCTGCTGACGACCGATCCAGGCAGGTACGATGTTCAGGTTACCTCAACCTTGGGAACTTCTGACCACTGTCTGGTGAAATCTGTATCGTTATATTCCCCACCTAACTACGATTTCCACGGAGTGCGACGAATTTGGCGATACAAATCAGCAGATTGGGATGAGATGCGGCATTTCTTTGCATCTTATTCTTGGCCGCAGGTCTGCTTCTCCTCTGGAACTGCGCGGATGCCATAACCAATGTGATACGTCAAACGATGGAGTATTTCATCTCCTTTGCTAACGTGCCCATTGGTGGTAAAGCTCGCCCTTGGTTTAACGCCGAGTGCGCTCGTGTTGAAAAGCACAAGCATATGGCGTACTTATCCTGGGTCGATGCTCGAGACCGTAAAGCTCCGGATGTTAGCCTTAAGAAGAGAGCCTTTAACCAAGCCGCCAAGTCGTGCAAAAAGGCATTACGCCAAGCTAGTTTCGACCGCATTAAACGCATCGGCACAAAGCTCTCTGTCAAACCATCTGGCAGTAGAGCTTTTTGGTCTCTCGCCAAAGCGGTCGAGACAAACTTCTGTCGGTCTACACTGCCTCCGCTGGTAAAACCAGATGGCTCACTGGCGCATGCGCCTAAGGAGAAAGCGGACTTATTTGCTTCTCTTTTTGCTTGCAATTCGCGTCTGGACAGTAGCAACAGCTACTGTCCAGAGCGTACCGTCTCAATCACCTCACTACGGTACTTCTATGTCTGAGGTCCGTATCACCAACAAAGAGGTTCTTAAAACCTTGCGAAGTCTAGACTTGAACAAAGCTAATGGACCTTATGGTATACCAGCTATAGTGCTAAAGGTCTGTGCATCTGAGTTGTCTCCTGTGTTGACACGCTTGTTCCGCCTCTCATTCAGGACTGGAATAGTGCCTAAATCTTGGAAGCTGATCAATGTGCAGCCTGTGCCTAAAAAAGGTAGCCGTACCGACCCTGCCAACTATCGGCCAATTTCAATTACCTCCATACTCTGCAAGATTATGGAGCGTATATTGAAAGCACACCTCATGGCATACCTAGAGCAAAATGATCTCCTCAGTGATCACCAGTACGGGTTTTGCCGAAATCGATCAACTGGGGACCTTCTAGCGTATGCCACTCACATATGGGGCGAAGCCCTCGAGAACAGTGGTGAAGCACTTGCTGTTTCGCTCGATGTTTCGAAGGCTTTTGACAGTGTTTGGCACGCTAGTCTATTGAGCAAGCATTCAGCGTACTGCTTATCCCCTGGCCTAATTGTCTGGGTGAAGGACTTTCTGAGTGAACGGTCTCTACGGGTCGTCGTTGATGGCTGCTTATCCAATACTGTGGCGACTAACGATTGATAAGTCACATAAGGGCTGGTGCTGCAAAATGCCACCTGGCAGCATTGGACTCAGTGGAGGGACGTGCTAAGAGGCTCATTGGTGACCTTGATTTGGTTGAAACCAATCTTGTCAGCCTCGAGCACAGGCGCAGAGTAGCCAGTCTCTCGGTATTCTATAGGATGCATTTCGGTGAGTGTGCGCAGGAATTACACGCCTTAATTCCTCCCTCTCCTTTCCACCATCGGACAACCAGACCGTCGGCGGGTCTTCATTCCTTTGTTGTCGATATTCCACGCATTAGAACCAAACGGTTTGCTTCGTCTTTTTTAATGCGTACAGCAAAGGAGTGGAATAAGTTGCCGGCGTCTGTCTTTCCGTCCGAATACAATCTAGGCGTCTTCAAGGCAACAGTGAATAGGCTTTTGTTACGATAAGACAGTGCGATTTACCATCTAACCCCTTGTCTTACACGTCTCTGCAGTTGGATAGGTTTCGTACAGATTTGTATCCCAGTACAGAACCAGTCCCTTACTGGGAAATCTGTACGAGCCATCGTAGCCCTAATGTACAAATACTTCAGGACTGCGATATAGCGACAGTCAACTTGGCACCGCTGAAGGGACTGCAGCACCGACCAAACAATTTTCGACGGAATTTTTAGGCTTTCTTATAGTCTACATACACCAGAAATAGTGGCAAATTGTACTCCTCGGTCTTCTGTATAATTTGCCGAAGGGTGCGTATGTGGTCAATGGTGCTATAGCCTTTTCGGAAACCGGTTTTTTCGGGAGGCTGGAAGTCATCGAGTCCGCTTGCGAGACGATACGTAATGACTCTCGAAAACAGCACGTAGACGCGGCTCAGAAGGTAAATCGGTACGTAGTTCTTCAAGAGAGAGTTGTCGCATTTCTTAAAGAACAAGACCATCGCACTTCTACTCCACGCCTCCAGTGTAGTGCCATCATGGAGAACGGAATTAAAGAACTTCTGAATGACTTCAAGTTCCGGTTTTCCACCGGTTTTCAGAAGCTCCGCTGCAATTCCACCCTCGCCCGGGGACCGTTTTTAAGGTGCTGGAGAGCCATTCTAATCTCGCTCAGACTGACGTCCGGGATATCATCAGAATAGTGTTGGATAAAACTTGCTCTTGTATCGTTACTCACACTTGCGTGTGGCTCCAACGATGACGTGTACAGCTGCCCATAGAACCTCTAAATCTCACAAAATCTCAGGTGTCTCGGAATCGATGCTGCCACATTCGGTCTTCAGCTTCGACAGTTGGCACTTTACCTGGCAGACAAATCTCTGGCAAAGACTTTGGAGCCCTGGTTTCGCTCGATCGCTTATTCAATACGAGCAGTTATAAATTTGCGTAAGTCCCGCCGCATGCATTTGGATATCTGTTTGTTCAGTTACCTGTATGCTGTCAAATCTACTGAAGAGTGCAGCTTCATTTCCCGTCCCGAGATTAAGAGTGTGATCGTAGAGTTTTGTGTTCTTCTGTGGCGGGTCTTGCACAACTTAGCTCCGACCGCATGGACAGTTTCCACGAGCTTGTTATTCATATCGTCCACTGCATTGCAATCTTCTAGGCACTGAAAACGGTTTTGTAACTCGAGCTAAAAGGTTTCGGGACTTTGGATTAGAGCACGAGGGGGACGAAGCGTTAACTTCATTAGACGACACCTCTCCAACTTAACATTTAGGTTCAGTGTGCCTCTAACCATTCGGTGATCGCTATCAGTTTTCACCCTAGCGATCACTGAGACATCACTGACCAGTTGCCGTCTAGTCGTCATAATGAAGTCAATCTCATTTTTTGTCGAATCGTCGGGGCTCGACCAGGTCCACTTCCTCTGGGGCCACTTCTGGAAGAAAGAGTTCATCATAAAGAGTCCCTCTTTTTCCATGAGACATTACAGGCGTACAATCGATGTAAGCTATTTATTTTTTGTATAAGTAGATAGAGTAACAGTCCAGTGGTGTTAGCCAAATTGATTTTCTACAATCGTTAACGCTAATAAAAAACTATAAAAATGTATGTGACGGCGCGTTTATAAAATACCGGATGGATCACGAGTGAGCGAGGGTTACATCAATCTATCAGAACGAAATATATATACGATAGTGGCGAGGTAGAAGTGAGGGTAGATCGGGAAACCCCTACTCATTTGTGCAGTATAAAGATCATTGTAGGACCCATGCGAGAGAGATTCCGCTTAAGTTATCCTACGAGTGTAGTTATTCTTATAGTGCAGGCAAGGAATGCAATTGAGTTTTAGTCAACTTCCCGATGCACTAGCTCATCGGGAAGTTGACTTGAAACTAACTAAAAAATGGAATCGTGTTATAGAAATCATGTCCATTCTAAATTATATTTTCACATTTTGTAGCTTTCTATTAATCGGTTGTAGAAAGTCAACTTGGACAACCTTGCAAATACATCCCTCTGATGTCCTCATGCTTCTTTAATATCAGAGTGGTTTTTGTGACAAGGCAGAATCCTCCGCTCTGCCCCTATACGTGTTGGCGGACTTCACATGTACTTAAAATATTTTAATGGACTGAGAGTTTCACCACAGGGCACAAGTTGCCAATACAAAAAAAAAATTGATGCTTGCAGAGATTATTTTTTTAATAAGACAACATGCAATTTTTGCAGCAAAAATATAGATTTTATGAATCTACAACAAGAACAAACCTGATCTGGCTTGAAACCCTTATCGACGCAACGCTCGATGACGTCAGCAATTTTAACAGTCTTGTTCGAGCCGGCCAGGTCGCGCACTATTGCGAAAATGCGGTCTGTAGCGCTTATGCCCCTGAAAACATTTTTTTTTTGGATGTTATACACATATTGAAACGAATATATTAAAACGCCTGATGAATTATTTTTGACTAAGCCGATTATACATACTAATCTTTTCTACAACATGAGGCCCATTGCTCAACAGCAGACTTCTACAGGCTGATAAAAAAATTAAAAATCTAAAAGTCGTTTCATTTAATTTTGATTAAAAAAATAAAACGATTACACAAAGTATAAATTCGATATAGGCTGTATGGTACATGACCTTTGGCTATCAAGGGCTAAAAACAAATGGAAATAATTAAGTAGAAGGTACATTTATAAAAAAGTAAAAAGTAATTTTATTATCAAACTACACCTACTAGGCTATTGATATGAAATAGGACACCAGTTGATGTAATTCTGAAACTAATAAAAAAACCGGTCTCGATACATCAATTTTTTCGAGAGTTATCGCGTGACAAAACCAACGTACAGACATCCGGACATCCACGTTTTTTCAAACCCATTTTTTTTTCAAAGTAGCAATATAAAATGATCTTTTAGAAAATATAAGATGAATTAATTACTGTTTTCTTGATATACGGCTACTCATATTATCATATAAGTGCCATATGGTTATGATGGAGGCATTTTCAGACCACAAGATTGCTTGACCTTGACGTGTCAGGAGTAAAGCACTAACTACAGCAAGAACTTCGCCTTATGAGGCGTGCCAAAGAAGATAGATATATCTACCTCTGTACATTATCTTCCACATGCTGCAATGACTGTTTAGACATTTCAACGAGACGAATTGCTTCGGACACGTCTTCCTTCTCGACAACATCGGACAACCTAAGATGAAAAAGAAATATGTATATTATGCATCATAAAGTACTTGTATTATTTACTAAGTTACAGAACTTTTTTCCAGCCAATTAGCAATGCCTGCACTGCTGTGTTCTCATCTGAAGGGTATAGGAGCCCGTATGATTACAGGCTGTGATTAATCTATGTTTAAAGTAAGTTGCAGATGTCCATGGACTGCAGTGGTCACTTGCCATCGAGTGGAATGCAAGTTCGTTTGTCACTTTGGTTAAATAAAAAAAGAAATCTATGTTTAATTACTCATACGGCAATTCCTTTATTTCTCTTTGTTTACAATAATATTTAGCATTAGGATTTTTTACTGTATACATTCAAGCATCCAGGCCCAAAACAACTATTCGTAATCCATGCAAACATTTAGTTTGTATGATTCAAACCCAGGGTTCCACAGTACTGCAATCACAATGCAGTTTCAGAATATTCGCTTTCACAGCAAGACCTTCATCTGCATAGGCCCTAAAACAATTGTTGGGATGAACCTAGTAGGCATTGTAAATGTGGCATGAGCCTCCAACAACAGTGTAGCTTTCGTAGGCTTAGAAATAAATATATCTAGATTTTCTTTTCTTATAATGCAAGTAATAGGCATTAAGTAGTGACATAAAAAAGTGGTTACATAAATATATTTTTTTTCTTTTTATAGGATAAGGGTGACAAACGAGCACACAGTCCACCTGATGGTAAGTGGTTGCTGCGGCCCGTAGACATCTACATCTATCCTCTGTTACAAATCAAAATGTAGATGCGTTGTCACCCGTGAGGACTAAGATGGAATGCCTCATTTCCAGTAAAAAAGGCCTCCTTTTATGTACGAATCTGTAAATACGTGCGTGCGTGCGTGTATGTGTGTGTGTGCATAAAAAGTTTATTATAAGGTAGGCTATTCTACTACGCGTGCGTGCGTGCGTGCGTGCGTGTGTGTATGTCCCTATGTGTGTGCGCGCGCGCGCGCGCGTGTGTGTGTGTGTGTGTGTGTGTGTGTGTGTGTGCGCGCGTGCGTGTGCGCGTGTGTGCGTGTGCGCGTGTGTGCGTGCGTGCGTGTGTGCGTGCGTGCGTGCGTGTGCGTGTGTGTGTGTGTGTGTGTGTGTGTGTGTGTGCATAAAAAGTTTATTATAAAGTAGGCTACTCACTTTCTTATAGGATTTATACAACAATTAATTTACATTTAAGTAATTCGTATATATACAAATGTGTACCTGTTACTAACAACTACTATAAATACATGTGTAATTTTACTAACAAATGGTCATAATTAAACGTAGTGATTATATTCTCTTTGGTCATAATATTATAATTTATACTTAAAACGATGTTCAAGGACTTTGTGTGACAAACCTTAGACGTGCGAGGGCAGTAGACAAACGTAGGATAGCAAGCAGATTTCTAGCCGACGTAAACGTGACGTCACGTGCATTCCTAGCTTCTCGCCTCAGTTCCACGTATGAAGCTGTAATAATAACTTAATTGGTCACTTTTCCTACGTATTATTTCACACATTAACATCCTTTGAAAGTCCACTGCTGGACAGAGGCCTTTAGAAGAATGCACCAGCTGGCATGCATTGTTTAACTTAAATCTTAAAGCTGGACAAGTAGGTTGATGAGAGCATCGATTAGCTACCATAATTTCTTCAGCATATCAATGATATGTTGCACACCGGAAACATTAATTACGCATGGTCAGCGCTGCATAACCAGCGGACTTGTAGTTACTGTGAGCCGATGCACTTTCAACCTACTGCTCGTACGTATAGAGTACACAATGGCTTGGAACTAACAGACGATGTAGTCCGCGAGGGCGTGCGGCACGACGGGCTGCTTGCGCTTGGTGAGCGCCACGTAGCGCCGCACGAGGCGTATGGGCAGCGCTGCATAACCAGCAGACATGTATTTACTGTGAGCCGATGCACTTTCAACCTACTGCTCGTACGTATAGAGTACACAATGGCTCGGCACTAACAGACGAGGTAGTCCGCGAGGGCGTGCGGCACGACGGGCTGCTTGCGCTTGGTGAGCGCCACGTAGCGCCACACGAGGCGCATGGGCAGCGCTGTATAACCAGCGGACATGTAGTTACTGTGAGCCGATGCACTTTCAACCTACTGCTCGTACGTATAGAGTACACAATGGCTCGGCACTAACAGACGAGGTAGTCCGCGAGGGCGTGCGGCACGACGGGCTGCTTGCGCTTGGTGAGCGCCACGTAGCGCCACACGAGGCGCATGGGCAGCGCTGCATAACCAGCGGACATGTAGTTACTGTGAGCCGATGCACTTTCAACCTACTGCTCGTACGTATAGAGTACACAATGGCTCGGCACTAACAGACGAGGTAGTCCGCGAGGGCGTGCGGCACGACGGGCTGCTTGCGCTTGGTGAGCGCCAAGTAGCGCCGCACGAGACGTATGGGCAGCGCTGCATAACCAGCGGACATGTAGTTACTGTGAGCCGATGCACTTTCAACCTACTGCTCGTACGTATAGAGTACACAATGGCTCGGCACTAACAGACGAGGTAGTCCGCGAGGGCGTGCGGCACGACGGGCTGCTTGCGCTTGGTGAGCGCCAAGTAGCGCCGCACGAGACGTATGGGCAGCGCTGCATAACCAGCGGACATGTAGTTACTGTGAGCCGATGCACTTTCAACCTACTGCTCGTACGTATAGAGTACACAATGGCTCGGCACTAACAGACGAGGTAGTCCGCGAGGGCGTGCGGCACGACGGGCTGCTTGCGCTTGGTGAGCGCCACGTAGCGCCACACGAGGCGCATGGGCAGCGCTGCATAACCAGCGGACATGTAGTTACTGTGAGCCGATGCACTTTCAACCTACTGCTCGTACGTATAGAGTACACAATGGCTCGGCACTAACAGACGAGGTAGTCCGCGAGGGCGTGCGGCACGACGGGCTGCTTGCGCTTGGTGAGCGCCAAGTAGCGCCGCACGAGACGTATGGGCAGCGCTGCATAACCAGCGGACATGTAGTTACTGTGAGCCGATGCACTTTCAACCTACTGCTCGTACGTATAGAGTACACAATGGCTCGGCACTAACAGACGAGGTAGTCCGCGAGGGCGTGCGGCACGACGGGCTGCTTGCGCTTGGTGAGCGCCACGTAGCGCCACACGAGGCGCATGGGCAGCGCTGCATAACCAGTGGACATGTAGTTACTGTGAGCCGATGCACTTTCAACCTACTGCTCGTACGTATAGAGTACACAATGGCTCGGCACTAACAGACGAGGTAGTCCGCGAGGGCGTGCGGCACGACGGGCTGCTTGCGCTTGGTGAGCGCCACGTAGCGCCACACGAGGCGCATGGGCAGCGCTGCATAACCAGTGGACATGTAGTTACTGTGAGCCGATGCACTTTCAACCTACTGCTCGTACGTATAGAGTACACAATGGCTCGGCACTAACAGACGAGGTAGTCCGCGAGGGCGTGCGGCACGACGGGCTGCTTGCGCTTGGTGAGCGCCACGTAGCGCCACACGAGGCGCATGGGCAGCGCTGCATAACCAGTGGACATGTAGTTACTGTGAGCCGATGCACTTTCAACCTACTGCTCGTACGTATAGAGTACACAATGGCTCGGCACTAACAGACGAGGTAGTCCGCGAGGGCGTGCGGCACGACGGGCTGCTTGCGCTTGGTGAGCGCCACGTAGCGCCACACGAGGCGCATGGGCAGCGCTGCATAACCAGTGGACATGTAGTTACTGTGAGCCGATGCACTTTCAACCTACTGCTCGTACGTATAGAGTACACAATGGCTCGGCACTAACAGACGAGGTAGTCCGCGAGGGCGTGCGGCACGACGGGCTGCTTGCGCTTGGTGAGCGCCACGTAGCGCCGCACGAGGCGCATGGGCAGCGCGCGCTGACGAGTCGGCGGCTGCGCGGAGTGCTGGTGTACGTATGCGATGTGCTTCGCCAGCTCCAAGTCCTTGTCCCTACAATTATGAAAAATATATATAGATTGAATTATTTTACTTACAACAGTTTTTCCATACAAATACAATATAATGTGTATTTAACACTATTCATAGTGTGAAGTAGTGAAGTATTTCGAAAAAATGATCTTATAAACGCGTTCTTACAAAGATAATACAATATTTTGTTACAAAAACAATTAATAAAAGAACTACTTACATAACAGATAATACAAACTCATAATTTATCGGAGAATATAATTAAATCTATTTAAGATTTTAGGTTAGGAACACATTTTCGTTTTAAATAATGCAGTTATCTATTAAATAACAAATTACAAATCAGTTATTAAATAAAAATCAATTAGGATCATAAAAATGTTTATATATGATGATTTTAACATATGTAAATTATATAATGTAAACAATTAAAACTTGCCAGCAGTGGATGTTAACATAGGAAAGTACCAGGAAAATTTTGTATGATGTATAACCAGTCTTTTGTTTTACAGAAATATTCCACTGCAGGACTTTGTACTCTCCCGTTTTAGGGAGGATTTGCTAGTGACATAATTCTTTAACTTTAACTTTTCTTAATTTTATAATAAAGAATATGTTAATTTTTTGCCAACTATCAGAAACTAACATAGCTATGAACCATCTTCTCATCATCTCAACAAAACAAATATATTGTTTTATTTATTTTATTTGAAAGACCAACAGCCATCATAATTAGGATAAATAATACTAATAACTACAGTAAGCCAATTAAAGGTCCTCACTAATAGATAATGATAGTGTGCATATGATCTCAACTAGTCAAATATTTTAGAAGCTACTAAATCACTAACAGATGCACCATCAATTATGTATTTATAAACAAATAAATCATGGATAATAATTCACGAACCTGTTGGGTTTATCCTGTAAAAGCCAGAGCAAATCAAAACGAGAAAGCAAAGCGGCGGGTAGCTGAATGTTCTGCTCTATTGTCCTCTTCGGATTGTAGCGGCCGTACGCAGGGTTTGCCGCCGCCAGGATGGACACTCGCGCATTTAAACACGTCATTATACCCGCCTGCAAAAACAAAAAAAAATATTGCATAGTTCGGTGCAAAATTAAAAAATATACAACCCACAGTTGGATACAGGCCCACTTTCATTTCTGAAAGGGAAATGAAGTCTAAAGAGAGAGCTGTCTTTTAAAATTTAAGTGGCAAACAAACTTAATTAATAGTAAGTGTCTACTGCAGCCCATGGACATCGACAGCTAACTTCAGATAAAAAAGGCTACTAATGCGTTTTCACCTCTAAGGAATAATTTGGAATGCCCCATTGCCTACAATTATAATAGCTCTCTACACCCTTTAGACCACAACACAGTAACAGGGACTGTAATACCGATATTTTGCAAGTATCGATATCGGGTTATCGATATAAATACTGTGACAGCAGTAGTGCACACACTATAATTTGAAGGCACTTATAGGGAAGAGGGTAGTACTTACCCGGGACTCCAGGCAGAAAAGGAGTTCTACTAATATTGGCTTATACTTTACATTTCTTAGAGATAATTTTAATTTCTCAGACATGATGGATATCCCCGTGATTTTCGTCACCAATATCACGGCATTTGTACTAGACATTTCCGTTATCCTAATTTAAAGTCTTGGTGCGGGTACAGCTGCACCAATTGGACCACCTAATTGATTTAGTAGTTTAAGTATAATGGTTCATTACAAACACAAGCAAGTGGAGGCCATAGACAAAAAACCACCACAAAGGAGAAACTTGAATCAACTTACATTATTTTAATTCTGTATAAAGATCTACCAACAGATATTCTGGCCTTAACTTTGACATCAAATACTCGTAAGTTTATTACAATAAATAAGTGAAAGTTTAATTTTATAAATAATGTACCTTGGCTATACTGATGGTCTGTTGTTCCATCACCTCGTGTATGGCAGTGCGATCATTCTCCGCCATCTTGTCGAACTCGTCGATGCAGCACACCCCTTGATCGGCTAGCACCAAAGCACCACCCTCGAGCATCATCTCACCAGTGAATGGATCCTAGCATTAATAGAACAAATTATAATAATATATTTTAAATAATAACAATCGTCAGCTGTGAAACCTTTCATTATAGTTCTCAAGTAGGAACTCACTTCTGTGGCTTTCTTTTTCTGAAGTCAATTGTAGAAATGTAAGCTTGTTGGTGTCACTCTAATATAAAAATAAAATTGTGACAATTTCGAACATTGCTTGGAAGCTATTAACTGCGCGGGTGATATGACACTATGACAGTGTCTATTACGAAACCCATCACTCCACCATTCACCCCGTTATGTATCGTAAAAGTAACTATGGATATGCTAAAAAGATCATATCGTTTCCTATAGATGGCAATATCTTGTTTATGCTAGATGTAAAATACATACATAAAATAATAGGCTGCCGCCATGTATGGCACTATAGGTCGGCCGTTGGGTTTGCATCTCGCCAGACAATCCCAACGTTGTTGCTGATGTGGTACTTACTTCAGGATATGGAACTTTTTATTCCTTCCTCTGTGGTGCCCATCAAAGGCAGATCTCAGTCATGGTTTAGTCGCTATTTAGTCCTATAAAATAGCATCACGCTACAAGCAGGAGTGCTACCGGGCCTGGGCTGACGCATCAACGTCCCGGGGCCCTTAAAAATAAGTGTAATTCCGCCTCCAGGTTCTTTAAAAGAGTCATTGCTAAGGCAGTCAGAGCACATAGGCAGAATTGGCGAGAAACTGGTTCGCCTTCCTTCGGGAAACCGTGCATTCTGGTCTCTCGCCAAGGCTGTCCTAGGGAATTTCTGTAAGCTATCACTACCATCTCTGCACAGGGAGGACGACTCATTGCCCCACGCCGCAAAAGAGAAAGCAGACCTTTTAGGCTCCTTTTTTGGGTGCAACTCGACTCTTGATGACGGGGGGAACACACCGCCGACCATCTTGCGGTGTGAGTGCTCCATCCCAGATATGCGGTTCTCACAGCGCTCGGTTCGCAACCACTCCTCTCCCTGGACATCCACAAGTCGAGTGGGCCTGACGGAACTCCCCCAATTGTGCTGAGGCCGTGTGCTCCGGAGTTAGCACCAGTTCTAACGCGTCTTTTCCGGTACTCCTACTCCCTAGGCGTAGTCCCGAAATCATGAAAGACGGCTTTTGTCCACCCGATCCCTAAAAAAGGCGACCGCTCAGACCCGTCTAACTACAGGCCTATCGGCATCACCTTCCGAGCTGCTGAGCATTTGTTGTGACACTTCAAGGGCGCAAGTAAGAGTCCCACACTAATTTGTGTGCACTATAAATGATTGTTCTGGGTCTAGATGTTACAGTATTAGACCCCAAAAGGTAACAATTTAGGTTTCATACACAAATTACAGGACCTGCAACATAGGAACTACACAACCAATACCACTAGCCCACGAACCGGTAATAGATTATGACATTAATAACAAAATAAGCTGAGAGTTACCACCTATGTCTGTGACCAAATATCAGCTGTGTTCTGGTCTGTCTGACGGGTATAGAGAGCCATTATAATTACAGACTGTGAGCCATTCCATCTTAGCCCTTAGAGTTGACAATGAATCTGTACCATTGTTTATTTGAAGTTAGCTGCAGTGTCCATGGGCTGCAGTAGCCGCCTACTACCAGTTGGACTGTAAGTTCGTTTGACACTTCAATTATATAAAAAAAAAGACTAATGGACTGAGAAAAAAGGAAGCCAGAAAATGATCAAACTCTCTCTAAATACGTACTGGAAAATGCGGCTTAACACTCCTGTCACATGAACCAAAGATAATTTACAGGCATTAGGACAATCTATCAGTCTACTACGTTGCAGGTCCTGTAATTTGTGTATAAAACGTAAATTGTTGCCTTTTGAGTCTAGTTGTTATTTTTAATAACTGTTCTCTCCCAGTAGGAGTCTACTAGAACCGGAGACCATTTTTACTGGAAAAGAGGCATTCAATCTTACTCCTCACGGGTGACAACGCATTTGCATTTTGATTCTTTATTAAGGATAGATGTGGATGTCTATGGATCACAACAACCACTTATCATCAGTTGGACTGTGTGCTCGTTTGTCACCCTAACCTATAAAAAAAAACGCCCATATTAGGCAATGTACGGGGGCATCCTGTGTTCAGCAGTGGACTTTTGATTGGCTGTGTTGGGGGTGGAGGTGGAATAATGTATTTTAAACAACTAATCGTAAACCATAACTTACAACATGCACAATACCTTCAAAACAGCAGCAGTAAGACCAACACCAGAGGAACCCCTTCCCGTAGTGTATTGACTTCGTGGCGCCAAACGGTTAATGTAGTTCAAAAGCTGAGATTTGGCTACTCCTGGGTCACCCATCAAACAGATATTGATGTTGCCTCTGATCTTCATGCCGTTTGGGCGTCTAAGGGTTAAAATTAAAGTAAGTTTAAAATTGTGAATATATCAGGATACAGGACTTGTTTTATACTCGACTTGTTTTATACAGGAGAATAAAACAAGTCGAGTAGGTGTCAGGTCTTACATAAAAAATCCAGATTAATAAAGGCTGTAATATAAACAACAACTAAAATCATCCCACATTAGAAATAAGAGTGGCAAATGAGCTCACAGGTGATAAGTGAATGCTGTGACAAATAGACACCTATTATAGTGTAGTATATATGTAGCTCTCACGACAATATAATAACATCTAGAACAAGCAACACGTCTCATTTCCATTTAATATCTTACGACATTACACTATATTTATGCCAGATTATGAAACAAAATTTAGATGAATTGCCACCCTTCAAAATTAGGATGGACTGCCTTGTTACCAGTAAAAATTCACCAGTACTTGTCACTCACCATACAAAACACTGCAGAATTATTATGCCTTTATTTTACACTGATATTCAGTGAGACTGTGGTCCTTCCCCTGTGGAGCTAGCCCATTCGTGCTGCAACCATAACATGTTGCAGACTACCATGTGTCAAATATAGATTTTATTTAGAGTCAACACACAGTTCGTTAAATTTTTCAGGAAAATTGTTAAACAATTGAAGAGGAATTTAGTTTAAGTAATAGTAAGCATTATTATTTTAAAGAACTATTTATCGCTGTATAGTGGTAGCGTAAGAGAATCCTCATTTTGTATCGTAAGAGGCGACAAAGGAAAATGAAACATGAGATGACAGCAGCATTACCCAGATAACACCAAATAAGTAAAACCTGCTGTTGCCAACCTGGCAAATAGCCCCCCTTAGAGGCAATCTACATGATGTCTTGTAATAAGTAATAGTAATTGTCTTGTAATAGTAGTCCAAACGAAATATGGCGAGAGAAGACATTGTGCCCTATGAGAACAGCCAAAATTATTTTAATAAAACTGTTACAGTTTTCAAGATCTTTCGATTTTCATGATTTTATCGAAAATTTATCACCTTAAGAGCCCTCTTACATTTCGGCGTTTCGCAAATTTAGGTATTTTACGCACCGAGCGGGCGGCGAGCTACGCTACCGATACTTTCTTTCATATCTATTCACTCGCTCGCACTATAATACTGTGAGTATGGCGATTAAACAATCTTGATCTTCCATAATACAAAGTTTTCTTAGGTCATTTTAATGTTAACTTATTAATTTATTATTATATAATTATATAATTTATTATTTATTATTATATACCATTTTGATATATACACATAAATATACAATAAGTACACATAAATATTTTAATTGTTACGCCGTAATCGAATGTTAATAATCGATTATGTCTACTACCATGTATAAATAAATAAACGGTTGCAACCTGTTTTAATAAATATAACAACTAAATGTAACTAATCTATCTAAATTTTTTAATCGGTACTTACAGTCAATTACCATATTTTTTATTAGAAAAATATTTGCTGCGACGGCATTGACCGAACTTTTCTCAAGCCGATAATTTCAGGCAGTACACACTTTTCATAAAAAGCTTGTGACTTGGGTAACATATTGAAAATCTAAAATCGGTCGTCGTTGTAAATTTTTAGTACTTTTAGTGCATAATCTGGGCCAATACATATTATGGCAAGTATTCAGACATTTTTATTTGCTAAATGAAGCTGGCCTTGGATTTGGTAAAACCAGTCATTATTTTGATTTAATGTTACACTTGAATCACTAAATTTATAACCTTTAACTTTTTATGTCGAAAGGCCGTGTCAAAATCTATTCCGAAAGCTGAAATAGGACATTTAACTTCAATAAGACCGTCGCTATATAAACCATTAGGTGAAGCCCTCAAATAACAATGATCTAGGTCAATGAATAGTCCACATTTTTGTATAATAATATTTTCTTGTTTGCTCAATTGTGCCAATGTTACAGACTCGTTGTACCTGTCATGTTTAATGGAACATGACGTGATCTAAATTATAACTATATAAAATAGTTTTAAACCGATTGATCAAAAATTGCGGTCGTAGTTGACGATGCTCTAGCATGCAGGCAATCGACGAACACTACGATAGCAATCTACGCACACTACGGTAGTATCGAAACGATGCAGCACCCGAAATCAACTGACGCAGGTCTACCCTCGGCAAGCGCTCGCGCGTTAATGATCGCAGATGGCCGGCGCAGTGAAATATATAGTACTTTTATTTAATTAATTAAAATATAATAGTAACGATTTAAAAAGTAATAATAATAGTATAGTTTAAGCAAATGTTGATGATTATTTTGGTATAAATTTTACGTCGAAATGGTGTAGAACTTCGGAAATACAGAGGCTTGTATCGAAGCTTTTTCGGTCGTTTTTTGAATTATGTCGATTTTTTTTTCCTAGCGTGAAAACCATATAACGAAAATGTATTACATTATAATTAAAGTGTAGGATATTTGGGAGATAAAAATATTTTTTTTGATGGTCGATATTCAATAGAATCTACAAATTAGAGCTCCTAAATTATGTCTTCGAGAGTTTTTGCCTAAACATGCATCGGGAGAAAGATTATTACTGATTAAATAAATAAGTTATCTAAAATCCGCTCTGAGCTTATTTGAGGAGAGAAAACGAACTATTTTTACCAAGTAATTGTTATTTCAAGCAACGAATGATAAACATACAATCTCAACGAGGAAACCTTGTAATTTCGCGTTTTTTTGTAATACGCCTCTTAATACGTATAACTTATGCCATTCTATTGAAATAGCGAGAACGTATTTTTTTTTGAATATTATTTCTGATTAGATGTGTAACTGCATGTTTATTGCAGTTTCCCAACAACATGAACAATTTTGTTTGGACTACTATAAAAAGGACAACCTTTATAGGGGAAACCAACATAGAGCAGTGGACTTTTGTTATACTGTAATGAGTGAACAAATAAATTTAATAATATCCTACTTGAGACATATACTTATATATGGTAAATGTTGGTGAAGATTGAAAATGAAACATACTTATCAACACCACCTACAAGTAGCAACAGGAGAGCTTTCTTAACATCTTCATGACCATATATCTCAGGCGCGAGACTCTGCGCCATCCTTGAATATAAATCTTCGTCTGCTAACTCTGCCAATTCTTCTTCAGTCAATGCCTCTGCCATTTCATTTTCGTCACTTTGGTTTAAGCATGTCACAACCTAAGACAGAGGGAATACATAGAGAAGTTATAAGCAATAATTATAAAACAATAATTTATTACATTACATATTACATTAACTTTTACAGTACAAGAAAATTTGTTAATACACAAATTAAAATTAACCTTTCAAAGAAAGAAAAACCACAAATATCACAACCTCAAGGTTACAACTAAAATAAAAATGTCTTCTAAATAGTTATACTGAAAATTATGCTCCAGTTTTTCAATTTTAAAGGAACCACCCTTTAGGCATAGCTTATTGAATAAAGAAGTATCATTAAAATCTGCTCACTATTAGCAAAGATGTCGCATTGCATACATACAAAAAATACAGTCTCCTTCTTTCTTGAAGTCAGCTAAAAATCAAATCTTAAAGGAATTGCAATTTTTTTATCAAACACCATATTCTATAAAATGTAATAATATTTTAAATAAATATTGGGATGTAAGCCTTGTTTGTCTACTTTTTGATATAAATGTAAATACTGATTTTTTGACTTTTTAGAGAATCAGGATGAAATTACTCAGAAATAGTGCATGTCCATGATTTCAATAATACTCACATGCGCCTCTAAGTACGTGTCAGACAGCAAGCCCTGCACTATTTGCCAAAAGCCGGTACTAAGCATAGGCAAGAACACACCAGTCACTGCTACGTGGTCACCAGGTTGCGCTCGTCGTGTTGTTTCACCACGACAGTACACTGATAACTGACGCGGTATGTGCCCCACTGGCACTTGGTCAGACTAAAAAAAATATTATAAAAATAAGATTTTGGGTGATGCTATTTGATAAGGGAGAAAAAACTGGTCAACCTTCAGGCAGGGTCTTTATTTTTACATCATTTTTATTTAATTTTAATACTCTATTAAGTGTTTAGGACAAGGTTGCTGTGAAATTATTTATCAAGTCAATCAAAAATAGCACTTTTTTTTTCATTAGTATTTTCTGCCATAACCTTCGTTATAAATTTTGAAGATCTTTCACACTAAATTTTTTATCTATTTTTAATTTTTAAAGCCTTTTCTGTAACAACTTAAATTCCGCCTTTTCAAATTTTTACTTCTAAGTAAAAATCTGTGCATTTATTTTTTTATTTTTATAGTTTTTCTTTGTAATTTAGTTCTACATTTGAGGACATTGGGTAAGGTGTGTAACAAAAAATCTTTGATCTTTCTGGTTTTCACATGCAGCTTGGAAAGTCATGGATTTGAAACTTACTTGAAGCAGTTAACAGGAGTATAAGTAATGTTAACATTGTTACTAGTATTATTTTTAATAAAAAACTACACATGTCACATATTCAGTGATATAAGCATGTAATCAATCAAAACACTCACATGCTCTTGGATCTTCAATTCTTGAAACTTTTGGAATCTGGAACCTCTTGTTTGCAAATACAACTGTCCTGAGGTCTTATTCAAACGGCACTCATCTGCAGTACATACAGGGGGTGGAGTAAACTGTAAGCCTCTTACAGGCTGATAAGTCTCAGCGCCACAAGCACTGCATGAATATGTTGCTACCACTAAGAGCGGTTTGACATCTGTACATCTTGTCACTATACCTTTAAAATAAAAATTACATTGTTAATTAATATTTTTATAAAGAGTGTAAATTATATGCCTTAGAAAATGTTTTATGAAACAATATATTGGAAATATAATTAATTACTTGCAACCTACCCCACTTTTCTTAGGTGTTGTTATCTATTAATGTTATTTAAAATAATCATCAACAACAATTTATTTTATTCATTTTTCGATTTTTTTCCATAAACAAATTTAACAGTTAAAATATAAGCTAGATCGCTCTTGGCATTGTTACCAATGTACGTGAAGTTTTTTTTTCTTCAAATATTTTAATTATAATCGGTTCAGTAACTCTTTTCCAGTACAAAGGGTCTCCCATTCTCTACACTCACTATTGATTAACATTTCATATTCTGTGACAGCATCGTCCCACCCTGGTCGAGCCGACCCATTGGTGCTACAACTAGCTGTAGCTGCAGCATGGCTCTACTACATAAAAGACAGACATTTTAATTTTATTTAAATGTATAGATAACTATTAAGCAAAGTGTTGAGGGGGCCCTCTACTAGATTGAGTGACAACCTAAGAGTAAGATATACAGATATTCTATGCAGGTGGCGCAAGACCATGCTTCGTGATATTTCTTGGGTTGGGTGGGGGAGGCCTATGTGAAGCAGTGGCTTGAGATGAGCTGTAATAATGATGATGTTAAACTATTTTGATGTGAAACATATATTGCCGCGCCTTGGCAGTAAAATCGACTCGTATGCTGTGACCCTCTCTAATGTGTGTGCGTGTATATATACTATACTCGTACGCTTTATTGCTAATCTCTCTGTATGAGATGTGTACTGAGTGTATGTTTCTATTCGACTACAGAATATCTGACGCGTTCAGAGCTAGTATATACACTTTGTAGTACTTCTTAATATAATTTTTTACTTATTTTGCTCCATATTTCTTTATTGGTTTTCATTAATTATATGATACATCCGATATGAAGAAATATTATATCTTTCTCACTCTCTCTATGATATCCTGCCCAATTACGTGCCACGTCCTGTAAATTTCCAATATTTGCTGTCCCAAGTGTATCCTTACTTTGTAAATATTTTGTCATTTTATTTGTACTAATTATATTAAAATGTAAAATTACTTATCAATTTTGGTAACCATATTTAAAAATACGACATCTTTTGTTATACATTGTGAATCTGCTCGTAAAAATGAGCTCTTAATTTAATAATTATTTACTTGTCACTCACTGAGTTGACACTGGCAGAATTCTATCAAGAGAAGCCATAATTCAAAAGAAGAAGAAGAAATATTATATCATAATGTTGACATTGTATATTTTTATGTTATTGTTTGCAGTTTGGAGAAGTGATTGTTCTGTATACAGGTTACATACTAGGTAATAAACTTTGTAAAAATATGTATGTAAATAATAAGTGCATTACCTCTGACAGTTACAAGCTTTCCAATATGTTCAGCCTTTACCTCTCGAATTGGCACTGACTTGGCAGTGGACACATCTTTGAAATATACTTCACTGTAACAAACATTGTACATTTTAAATTAAATAAAATACATTGAGTCTTTTATACTCTACTATCGCCCTAACAAAATTTCTAATTATTTTTTTTTGACATAGCAGTCAGTGGGTACTAAAACTTCACACAAATAAGGCTACAGATGCATTGTCACCTCTGAGGACTAAGGTGGAATGCCACACAGCCTATCATTACACTGGATTTCTATACAATTCAAACTGCAACACTGAAAAAAGGCAGAAGCGGAATCCCACAATGTAGAACCTAATTCTGTTAGCAATGTTCAATTTGTCAATATTGTGGCTGAGACTGTAGTCAATATTTGAAAGAACAAAAGAAAAGAACATATTTATTTAAAGTTACAGTCTATATACATTTCACTACTGGGCACAGGCCTCCTCTCATTTCTGAGAGTTTTAAGGCAAGGAAGTGTCCGCACTGTGTCGCAATGCGTGCGGCGAACTTCACATTTTTTCAAAATATGTTTATTTCGTATTTCTCAGACATGCAGGTTTCCTCGCGATGTTTTCCTTCACCACCCAGTATACGGTAAATTAGGTTTATTAATTGCTACAACTATTTAAGGTAAAAATAAATAAACTAATAACAAAATCATCATCATCATCACAGCCCTTCACAAGTCCACTACAGAACATAAGCCTCCCCCAAGGAATACCACAAAACACGGTCCTGAGCCACCTGCATCCATCGACTTCCTGCATGTCTCACTCCATCTAGTGGGGGCACACCCTACACTTCGTCCGCCAGCACGAGGCCACAAACAAAATCTTTTAAATACAAAGTTACTAAGATTGTAATTAAAATCTGGGTTAAATAATGTGCCATGAAAGAAGCGTGTGTCTGCAATGGACTGCCACAGGCTGATAATGATGATGGTAATGAGCACTCAAATCAAAGGAAATAAAAATCATAGCATAAATGCTTATAATAAACTCACAATCTTCTTATCAGTTCAGGAGGATATCTATTCCTTGGATCTCTCATTTCACCAGGTATCCTGTGATTCCTTGCCTCCAGCATTATTCTATGCTCTATGTACACATCTAGTGCATCTTTAGCTACAACCTAAAAATAACAATATTTGTCAATACTCATTACTATTATTGAATGATTGATTTGTTATAATAAATTAAATAATGCATATTGAACCAAAATTGTTCTATTCTAGATCATATGTGAATTGTTGGTAAAAAGGTTATTCTAACAATGAAAATACTTCAATGTACTTCAATGGCTGCTCCGATCTAATTCAAATATTCAAAACAAAACAATTATTAATTGTGATATTATTTTTATTCTAATTCAAAATAATTTATTTATAAAACATACGTAAAAAGTTACAAACTTGGTGGAAAAGGTATGATAAGTAACACTATGTTTCACCTCAGTAGGCATACAAATATTTGGTTAACATCCCTTGCATTACTCATATTAATATTTTCATAACATTACAACTTCAATTATAATTAGTATGTTTAGGAAAAATTGCATAAATTATTGTTATTACTATCCATTACATAATTCCTAATAACATAAAGATAAAAATATAATAAATAAATTGGACATAAATTGTAGGTACTAAAAACCATTCATTTTATCATCAAAATATTTGTTGATAGAGTAGTATGCTTTTTTTATTAAAAACCTAAAAGCAATTTCTTAAATTTGTCTATATTATCTGTCTTTTTAATGTTTTTTGGAGTTTATTAAAAATTTTAAGAGGCATACCCAGAAAACTTTTTGAATACAGGGCTGTTTTGAGTTTATATGTAGTGTGTTCCTGTTACGTTTACTATTAGTGGTTTCAAATATCCTAAAATGTTTCCTAACAAACAGGGCTGCTTTGAGTATATATAAAGATGGCAGGGTTAGTATGGTAAGACTGTGGTTTGCAACTATCGGTAACCTGCAACTGGCATACTGCTCATAAACATTTTATCATGTGTTCAATATGTTTACTCTTATATCATTTTTTCGTCCAGCCAAAGTCCCAGAAATTTTGAGTTCTTTTTCGATTTCTATAGGCATACTGAAAAATTTGTAATACATATTGGTATTACGTGGAATAGCATTACAAGTTTCAACTCCTAGGCCTTTCTAATAAATAGAACCATTACAATAAATTTTTGAGATTACACCAATAAAGTAAACTTTTTCTTAATAATAATAACTGAAAGTTTCAGAATAATTATACATAGAAGAAACCCATGTATAACAATGAAGTATTTTTCAACTGACTTCAAAAAGGAGGAGGTACCCAATTCAACTGTGTTTTTCTGCCGACTTCCAAAAAGGAGATGGTACTCAATTCGACTGTACATTTTTTTTAATGTGTGTTACCTCATAACTTTTTACTGGGTGAACCGATTTCGATTATTCTTTTTTTATTTGAAGGCTGGTACTTCTCGTGTGGTCCCATATGAATTTGATCAAGGTCAGACCAATAGATTTTGAGTTATTCTTAATAACTTATATTGAAGTCGGCCGTACAAATTTTTTAATTTTAAATTATTATTATATTATGTATGTTTTCTTTTTATGTGTGTTACTTCATTACTTTTCTCACGGTGAACCGATTTCGATGATTCTTTTTTTTATTTGAAAGATAGTGCTTCTCATGTGGTCCCATATAAATTTGATCAAGGTCTGACCAGTAGTTTTTGAGTTATTCTTAATAATTTATATTGAAGTCAGTTATACAAAATTTTTAATTTTACCACTTTTTATTTCTGTGATTTGGATTGACACATCATGTGATTATTTCACTTATATTTAAATATTTTAACTTTAAAAAGGTATCTACAGTGTAATTTTTTTTAATATTACTAGCATGATTTGTAGGGGTTATTTTTGGATCTCATCAACAGAGCCATCTACCTATTAGTGGTTGAAATAACTATAGCTAAGAACCACCGAGGTGATCCCATAAATATTTAATCAAAATTGGTCAAACCATTAGAAAGAGAAGCCTTACGAACACATACACACTGGACCTTTATATATATAGTATAGCAATTTAATTATTTAAAGAATTACTACTTAGTCTAGAGTTTATAACAAACAAATAACACAAACCTCTTTATGCTTATAATCTGGCAACATTTCATAAACAACGTCTGACAGCATATTAGTGTATCTTCTTGTGTTTTGTTTGACTGCATTTGCCAAATCTTCATTTGTTTCAAACAGGTCATCCAAATCCACAACAAATGATGTCTGATTGGAAAAGGAAAAAAAAGTGATGAAGTAATAGCAATCAATGAAAAATTAACATTCACATTTACTAATACACAATGACAAATGCGTCAGTCATAATATCAATGCAAAGGATTATAATATGTTTATTCATTTTTATTACTGTTATGATATGAACTGTGTACTACAGATGTCAGATTTACACCATATCTATATAGAACATTTTAAACAGATTTTAAGTTATCGTTAAAAACAAAAATTACCAAGAAAATTACGAATAAAGTCAAAGTATTCTGCAATAAATCGAATAGTAATCAAACTATTTCACACACCTGCTCCCTTTCCGCAACTTTTGTAAGTTGTTCTGCGTATTTAAAAACCTTGTGTCCCTCATCATCAGTTTGACAAAAATCTACGAAGAAGTTTCTTATAGCCTCTGTAAAAGAAAACAAGACAACAAATGTAAACAGTGGGAACTCATAACTCAACATAAAGATCTCCTTTTTTCATTGAATACCTTTGTCAGCGGCATAGTCCCGCATAGCCATAATTTAAGGGTATTGATATATATTTAAACCCGAAAAACACTCTATATAGAAACGTTAGGATTTATTCATATATAAATTGAGTAGTTTTAGGTTAAAGTAATTTATGCAAAAACAACGAATTCGATTTTGAGCCGCGCTTTTGACAGTAAATTTGGCGCGTAACAAAAGACAAATCAGAAGAAAATATCTTTTTCTTAATACTACATAACATGGATACAGAGTCTTTCATCTAAACCATAGATAAATAAATATGTAGCAATCTGTCCGGTACGTCGGCGGCCCGTGTTGCTTTATGTAGCAAAGAAAACATAAAGCAACACATGTGTTCCCCTGTGCCAAAGTATAAGTCCATATATGACACAGCGACCCTATGTCTATAATAAAACTAGTTACAACCGCACTGCTAACTAGACTCTGCGCAACGGACGTCTGGACGTCCCACAATAATGCCAAATTGTTCAGATTTATTGCTGCAAAATGAGATTTGCCACCTCAAATTTACAAAAAGATGACGTATATTATGTAAGAAATTCCTTATAATATTAGTACTTTTTATTTCTTTTTAATTTTAAAAATTACAATAATAACAGTCCATAGTTTCCATAGTAACGGTCGTGTTGTTTCGTTTTTGTTTACCACCACAGGTTACTCGCCCCTCACACTCATACGCTTCTTCTTCTTCATAATAACTGGCTTTATGGGTCTGGGATCTAGCCCTTCTGAGCCTGAAGTTACAATATATTATAATAATTATCCTTCATAGTATACTGCCTCACAATATGTTGATACGTCACATTGTGCAGCCCTTGGGAGATTTTGACGGCAACTTGAGCCAGCAGACAGCTGACGGTTGGTGACGTTATCTCAAGGCGCCTAAGCAAACAGACACCTTATTTTGAGAATCACATCACCATCAGAGTACTTATAGAGCGCAGACACTTATTACACAAAATCGCACCAGTTTTACATATCAAAGTCCACTTCAAACCATTATTTAAACAATAATACAGGAGCAGCAAACCGCCGCCGGTCAAGTTCCCGCCAAAACACTTGTGGTTCGGTGTAGAGTAATTGTGTTCTGTGGACTGATCTGAATCTGTATCCGAGTTGTTGCTGTCACCGAGCAATAGTTTTGAGCCGGTTTGTAAATAGCATAGAACAAAATTACTCTCTACCGATATAAATAGCTATCAACAGTTATCGATAAAATGGCAAATGGCATAAATGGTCTATACAGCCATGCCTCTTGTGTCTATAATCATTTTTGACATTATGTTTTTCATTTATTTAATATGTATTGTGAGCTTTATTATAATATAATTTAATATTAAAATTACATCAAGTTAAATGTAATACAATACTTACGAGTATCAATACATTCTATTAAAATTACTACTTTGGTTTACTAGCTGTTCTCCGCGACTTCGCTCGCATGTTAGGGATTTTATGTTTTTGCGCGGAACACTAATTATTTTTCTAAAATAAAAGTAGCTTAAGTTACTGCTTATAAAATCAGCTACCTGCCAGTGCAAGTCCCGTCAAAATTGATTAAGCTGTTTCGGAGTTTAGCCGGAACAAACAGACAGACCGACAAAAATTTTAAAAATTGTGTTTTTGTTATAAGTACCGTATATACTTACTTTCATATGCAATTAGTAAAAAGCTGTAATTTTGACATTACAAACAGACACTTGAATTTTATTTATCTGTATAGATTTATTTATTTATTGCAGGTTTCCTAAAGATCAGAGTTAAAAGGACATATGGAAATACTTTTGTAGTAATAAACTTACTGGGCATCACAAGAAACAGTGTAATTGGCTCAGATCATTTCCATACCTCTGACTTTCAAGTGTTGGCGTACAAAAGAAGGCGATTGGTCAAGGGCACCAAGCCAACTTTAATACCCATCGATCACTAATAAAAAACTAGATGCACAATCCCATACAAAAGTTCTCTAAAAACTGTCGCCAAATGTTTTGACGTAATTCTAGTTGATATAAATATACATTAATGTAAATTCAACCTTAAATACATTGCCTAAAGTTGTATTGAAAAAGCTACGTACAAAAAGCAATAAAATTTTACGAACGAGGCTCGTCGCTTGGACAAGGAGAGTGGAGTCGAACTGCACAGTATTTTTTGTTACTGTAATTTTAATTTTATAATTTTGTTAAACTTGTCTTAAACAATTGGTCTACTTAATAAAGCATATTCTATTCTATTCTATGGTGCGTATGTGTAATGGTTATATTATTACCTGAATGTAAATATGCTTTTGGATAGGGCACCACATTCATTTATAATGAAAGTAATTCCACAGTCATAATTATGTATTTATTCTTTATCTTGTGTGAAAAATTTAAAGATATTGCTTGACAAACAACTTAAATCTAAATATAATAGTTACTAAATATAAAAAATAAGTACAAACAGTTCTTGTAAAATCTAAGAATATTATTGTCCAAATTTTTGACGTAATGTTTAGTTACAGATGTGTAAAAAAATTTTACAAATGTTTGAAAAAAACGGATAAGACTGAATAATTATAATGATTTCTTATATTTACGCGTAAACTACACATTTAAATAAAACTAGTTTTACGAATTTTATCGCGTATTTTAACTTATTTTATATTCCCGACGTTTCGAGTACTATAATATTTAGAGAAAGAGTATAGAACTCTCATTAAACAAAAAAAAAATCTTACCTTAATAATAAAAATAATAAAAAAACAATAGCGTCTCCACAAATGGAACAGAATCAACGCATATACGATGATTTCTTGACCAAATATCAGCATTTACAATAGAGTGATAACAATTGAATAATGCTAATATTAATACTTACCGAAAATATGATATTCCATCCTTTTTTAGCACCCTAGATGTGTGATTTTTACACTTTTTAAACGAGCACTGAGGCATGTTTACCGTCGGAGCATTCGATTGCTACTAGATTAAAAGTGCACCCATATGTTCGAGTGGGTGCACATTCGGTTAGGCCATTTTTTGTCATTGATTGTGTATCTAGTTTTTTATTAGTGATCGATGTTAATACTACACTATATTATTGTTCCGTAAACTTTTTTACATCATATAAAAGGCAAACTAGCGTACAGTCAACCTGATAGTAATTAAAATGTGACCCATGGACATTTACGATCTCAAGTCCAACAAACCGCTACTGATTGCAAATGCGTCGTCAACCCTAAGGACTAAGAGGTAATTCCCCGTGCCACCCGTAAAATGTTTAATATGCAGCATAATGTAGTTTGTGGTTAGTCATAGTTGTAAGATTAAGCTCAGATTTCTCCACTTCAAAAAGTGTACAATATTAAATCAAATTTTCCAGGGCCATCAATTATCACTTACTCTACCAGATGACAGACTATCATCTTACGATGTCATTAGCGTCACTCTCACTATTCCTGATTCGCTTACATCTGCATGTACAACATCAACTCCTCCACGTGTGAGTTTACTTTCAATAGTTTCCTTGTAGATAATATGTTTGATTAAAAGAAATTGGTACACATCTATCAAATAGTAGTTTCTACTATTTTATTATTGAGATAGAGTAAGCTGCATAAAAAGATAATAACACCATAATATAGCCTATTTATTTTTCAGGCTTAGTTAAAGAAAACATCTGAAAGTTATAATTCGATTTCCAACATTGCACTTAGACTAAGAAAAATAAAAATGCAGCAACACCTATGTATGTCACCAGAAAAAATATTAAAAGGCTCCAAGCTAACCCTCTTTTTTAAGGAAAAAAATTGCTGGGTTGAAAAAATTTCTTCAGAAACTGGATGAAAAATCTTTGATAGATAAAAAAGGATGGTTTTTTAAAAGAATAGATATTGAAGAAACAGAGCTTATTAAGCGTCAACATAAGAAAATAATGTAAAAGCGGGAAGCTCTCACAAGCTAATTATTCACCACAACTGCAATGTTTTGCTTTAACTCTCTATACTGATAGAAGAATTTCTTTCTTAATGACAACATGTACAAAAAATGTAACAAAAACGTATTAATTATTTACATATATACAAAAATAATCCATTTTGAAAACAGTAATAGATAAAATTATCACTGTTTTTTAAAATGATATAAACATTAAGTTTATTAGTTAAACGATAGGTTATTTAATACATGTATTGTAGCGGTGTTCTATAGGCCGAAAGATAGATGTAAAAGTAAGAATACAAAGGCCACGAAAGAATAGAACAAACGTTTTACTGTCCCAAATTAACACAGTTAAAGGAAAACGTTACAAATAGGTACTATTATAGGCTTAAAGTAATAAGGAGAAAATTATGGTTACTTGCAAGTTCAGATTTTGTGTATTGTTAAGTGAGCAACTACGCAGAATAATAAATCATAGACCAGAGTGTGTCTATGGGAGTTAACCACCCGCGAATTGCTGTCTCCACCTACAGTGCCCTCTAGAGCGTACTTTATATGACGTTATCGATATATCGACTCGGCAAACGAATGGACCTACCGGTCCGAGTAATAATAGATCGAGGAGATATGCGCGCTACATCCTCCCGCTCCAAGTCACTATTCCGTCTCGGTTGTGATTTGGGTCTCCCTCTTGTTTTCGCGGTGATTGTTTGCGATTCTCCAGCATAAGGTGTTATCGAGCTAGTGTGGTATTTACCACGAATTCGACCTTCATTGTCTTCTACCTCGTAGGTGGTGGCAGGTAATACTCGCTTGATTCCAAATGGTCCCATACGCAGAGGTGCGAACTTCTTCGAAAACCCCTTGGAGATTTTTAAATAAAACTAATTTTACGGATTTTATCGCGTATATTAATCTATTTTTATATTCCCGACGTTTCGGGTGCTTTCCAGCACCCGTGGTCACGGGGGACTGAGGTGTTTGACGTCCTGCTGTCATAGTTAGCCCGGCTACCTTCAGTTTTTTAATATTAATTTTTGGTCCGATTTACGCAGAATGAGCTTACAGTATCTTGAAGTCTAGCAGTGG